CTATATCGGGAGTTCGCTTGCAGAGCGAAGAGGCTTTCTTGAAGATGGCTTGCCTGCCTCAGTTGGCAGCCCAGAGGTCCCAAGCTGATAAATGCGACCAAACATCTTTCAGGCATAGGGTGATAAATGTGTGGGGAGGAAATGGCAAAAGAAGGTGCAAGAGCATGCTGCTGGGTCTGAGGAGAGACTGATGAAGTCAATGACACTTTTTCTGTTCCAAAACACGTGTACTATTATTCACTTTTCAAAGTACTTCAGGGCAGTAAGTGAAATTGTAGTTGCTTAATAGATTTAGTATTATCCTACTGGGAATGCCTCCCGTGTCCCTAGTCCATTCTGCCCTTGCAGTTTGTGTCCCATTGAGCAAGGTACTGTGGCCTGCAAGGTACTTCACAACCACTTTGGTTTTGCTAGACAGGGGGGAACAGAGGTTGTTGTTTTTTCCACCTTACAGGCCACCGTACATGGCCGAGGGTCCTGCATTTGGTTTGGGTGGGCCTCACATTTTAGCAAGACTGATCTATGGCTTATTATCTCCTTATTCAAACTAATTTGTGTTGTTGGTTTAGATCTTTCTTTTTCTTCCCCTTTCCCAGGTCGGTCGGCCATATATACAAGAGAACGACCGAACACTTGAAAGTATCTTACTTTGTAGCTGACAACTTTGCAGAAGAATACACTGGGACAAATCTGAAAAACGTGGAGAGGAGCGTGGAAGACGACTATATTGCAAATCTCCGAAATAACTGTTGGAAGGAAAAACAACAGAGTGAGTGTCCCAACTTTTGTGGAATTATATCTGGTTTTCAGGCTGGTTATTGGGCCATCCTTTAGAGAAAGCTGTCTCTCCAAGTTGACTTTTCCATCCCTAGAGCTTGACAAAGGTGTTGGAAGGTTCTGATCTAAAGAAAAGACAACCCTGACATATTTACAAGTCTGGTTCACGGAAGGACCTCGGTCCAGTGTATTCAGATGCTACAGTTTTAGACAAAGCTGATCATCATCACCTATGGTCAGCACAATAACTTTGCTGATATAATCCTCCAAAAGGTAGAGACAAAGACAGGTTCTGATGTGCTTTCAGTAACGACCAAGCTGTCTGCCCTGTTCCAACCCTACTTTAGAAGTCGTCCCTAAAATAAGCTGTAGTTGCAATGTCTGAGGCAGGTGCATAGCAGTAGATGAATGTTTTTGTTGACTCCCTTACAGCTCCCTGCTCAAAGGGACTTGTTGCAAAATGGGATAGGTGATGGGAAATGTCCTCTTTCCAGAAGCAGCTAGGAAGCAAACCATCTCTCCAGTGAACTGCATGGGGAGTACCTGGGAACAAGTATTATACAGGCCCAAGGGAATAATTATGCTTGCCAGCCTTCATGACAGTTGCTTCAATGGTAATGGCTTTCTTTTGCAGAGGAAGGCTTGCTGTACCGGGCACGTTACTTTGGAGATTCAGATCTGTATCAGAGAGCACAGAAGATGGGCACGCCAAGCTGCAGCAGGCTGTCTGAAGTTCAGGCATCTATGCATGGATAACTATTGCGGAAACAGTCCATAGAGAGCTAAGTAAGAGCTGGTGATTAATGCCTCCCTCCCGTCCCCCCCCCCATGATTCTCAAGCACGGCACCATAGTCCTTATTTGCTGGCTTAGTCTAACTTATAGATGTAGGTCTCCTTTTCCATGCACAGACATCCCTTAATCAAGAAGTCACACATAACATCAGGACATTGGGCTTGGTTTGTACTTTGGCCTTTTGGGGTCCTTTCAGCTTCTCCTCCATAGCATTTGGGATCAAAACAAAATGACCTTGTAGCTGATTGGCCTGTCACATGTTTATTTGAGAGCATCCTCCTACTTTCTCATCTAGCTGAGAATTTCAGAACTTAACTGAAAAGAAAGTGGTTCCAGCTACTACCACAGAAGCGCCGTAAGCGGAATGAGCAGTTTAGTAACTTCTCATTCCGTTGAAGGTGCTTCTCTGACATCTGAAGCTGCTCCGAGCAACTGGGCCACTTTGCCCACCTGTGATAAGCCCGTTTGTACTGCCTGCTGCCTCTTGAATGGGAAAAACGGTTCTATGGTACCAGCACAGAACTCAAAAGAACTAGGAAATTGGGGGGGGGGTCTCTTTAAAGAGGAATTGCGATTTTCATTGTGTTGTTGCAAACAACCAAAAAAAGCAGGTTTTGCAGCAGCATGGTGACATCTCCAGAACCATTTGAGGAGCTGCTTGGTGTACAGATGTGGCATACAATGTGTGCAAATGAGGTTGCAGAAACAGCAAGGATTTTATCGCTTTGTGGTGAGATTTCCCTGTAAATATTGGAATAGAGAGACGTAGAGGAAATTAAAACAATACAAAACCAGCGCAAAGTTCAAAAAAGATCTGTATGAAAATATACCAGTGAGGAGTGTATCTTCTCCTTCCCCATTAAGGCCTTAGTGGTTAGGGTCAAACTGTGTAATACTCAGAAGTGCTGAGATTGAAATTTCCAGTTTCAAAAACCTTGCAAAATTTAAAAGCAGCTGTGCCAGTTGGGGGACCGAGTGGATCAGGGCTATGATGCTGTGGGAACCTTTTCTCCCCAGGCCGTTTTGTCCAGTCAAAATTGCTCAACCCTGGAATCTGTTATTAGGCCAGTTAGGAAAAAAGGCAGGCACCTGCCATTTTACTCCAGCCAGGCTAATAGTAGCTTAGGGGGGTGGGGGGTAGGTTTGACATCAGAAAGAGTTAACACCCCGTCCCCTCCCCAGACAACACAACACCCAATACCATTCAGATGCCCCACAGCTGCATTTCAATTGAAGCAATAGCAAGGAGGTCAGGAGGACAGTTTGTAATTTGACCCAGCGGGGTGGTAAACCTGTTCCTGGGCTGTACCACTTCAGAATGCAGATAGGGGTTCTCATGACTGAATACATCTCCATACAGAAGGCAAATCCCTCTATGTAGAAAGCTATGGGAGTAGGCTAGGTTCATAGCTGTCAACTTTTCCCTTTTCTTGCGAGGAATCCTATTCGGAATAAGGGAATTTCCCTTAAAAAAAGGAAAACGTTGACAGCTATGGCTAGGTTACAACTCCAGTCTGAAGTAGTTTAGTGCAACCACAAATGAATTACCATATTTTTCGCCCTATAGGACGCACCGGCCCATAGGACGCACCTAGTTTTCAGGGGGGGAAATCAAGGGGGAAAATATGATTTCCCCCCCCCGCAGCTCTGGGAGCAGCGGACAGGCTGCACGCAGCCTGTGCGCTACTCCAAGACCTTCTCCCTGCTTTTGTGGGAGGTGGCGGAATTCCCCCACCTCCCGCAAAAGCCCACAGGAGCCCAGCGTGACTCCTGCGGGCTTTTTGACCAGGAGGAAGAAGGGACTGAAACGGCCATTCAGGCCCTTCTCCCTCCTTGGGAAAAAGCCCCCAAGAGCGGTGTGCTCTTTAAAGGCTGCGTGGCTCCTACGGGCTTTTCTACAAGGGGGGGAATTCCCCCTCCTCCTAGAAAAGCCAGCAAAGCCGCGCAGCCCCTTTAAAGAGCGCGCGACTTTTGCCTGCTTTTGCAGGAGGTGGGGGAATTCCCCCATCTCCCGCAAAAGCCCACAGGAGGGTTGGAGAGTAGCGGGAAGGCGTCGTGCGCCTTCCTGCTGCCCCCCATCCTCTGGGGCTGGCGATGGGGGAAGCGCTGCTTTCCCCACCGCCAGCCTCAAACCTGGGTTGGAGAGTAGCGGGAAGGCGTCGCGCGCCTTCTTGCTGCCCCCCATTCTCTGGGGCTGGCGATGGGGGAAGCGCTGCTTTCCCCACCGCCAGCCTCAAAGAGCAGACTCTCCTGGCTTCAGCGGAAGCAACGCGAAGCCTCAGAGCGCAGGCTTTGGAGGCTTCGGGTTGCTATCGCTGAAGGCAAGGAGCCTGCATCGCCCCATAAGACGCACACACATTTCCCCTTCATTTTTGGAGGGGAAAAGTGCGTCTTATAGGACGAAAAATACGGTGCCTCATTTTTGGTCAGGGTTTCGGAAGTGAGACAACTCTGTTTAACAGAACGTAGTGAAGGCACACTGGTTTTCCTGGGGTAATTAAAATGCACAATGGCTTTTCTCTAACCTGTCCACCCCCACCAAACCCTCTTCTGTATTTTGAGGCATGCATGCAGACATCTGCTTGGGTGAACCCACACAAATTTGAAGGAAGCCTTGGACTGCATGGCTACACCTGTTGTTTCGGAAGCTGTGGACATGTTTTGGTTTTCCTTTCTTCTAGTGCTTCATGCTGTTTTGATACCTCCTCTACCTAGAAAGTGGCAAGGCCTCATTGTTGACTGTTATGGGAATTTCCCCATGTACCAAGTTGTCAAATGGCAAGACTATATATATTTAAATGTGCAGATTAGTATTTCCAGTTAGTCCAGTTTATAGGGGTGGGAGAAACTGTGGAACATGCTCTCTGGGGTTATCATTACCCTTCTAATACTGTTACTGCTTTTATTCTCAGACTCTTCAGATGCCTCAAGACTTTGGGGGAAGTGCACTGAGCCAAGGAGACTTTCTATTTAAAGAATCAGACCTTAAATTAAAATGGAATTGGAGAATTAGCAACGCACAACTGCCCTCTCTCCTCTCTCTCTCTCTGTGTTTCTGTCCAGCGTTAAGACTCGGACATCTCTTAGAACAGGGGGGGAAGACCATGTCTTTTTTCTGCTTCCTTCACTATCAACTGTCATATGTCTCTGAGAGCAAGCGTTGAGTTGTTTTTCTTTTAAAGCCTGGAGAAAATTAGAGAGCTTTTGAAATCGCACTGGTCACTTCGAAGAGAGTGGGAGAAATTGGAAGATCTGTAGGAGTAAAAAAGAAAAAAGAAAAAAATCAATTTTAAAAAGCAAGATAAATTATTTAGAATTAACTTATAGCTGTAAATATGTTGTACTTCTAAACTATGCAGGGATAGAATTAAATTATTTCATTATTTTGCCGAACTTCATAACCCAAGATGTGTGAATTTTAGCCTTTTCCCCCTCTCTCCCTCTCTCTCTGTTTGACCCCGTGAAAACTTTCCTACATAAAGCAACCTTGTCTGATGGACACACAAGTTTTGTATTTTTTAATAGCTTGGTTTTACTGGAGAAATCGTTCCCCCCTTTTTTTGTATAAGAGAATCACTAAAATTGCTAGGGAAGTTTTTTCTACACACAATTTCCGGCCCAGTTTTGGATTTGTGGTCTAAATCCGTGACCTTTCAACAGAGGGCTTGATGCTCATAGAGCGAGGAGAGAGATTCGTCCCTTTACTTCGTTGAGGTTGCTTGTGCTTTTCGCGTGGGACTTCTTATTTTTATGTTTTGCAGTCCCTGTGTTCTCTGCCTTTTAATCAGTGTTCATTCTGGTACATGGACGTTCTTCGTGGAAACCTCCTCCTGGCCACCCCCCCCCACCCCCCGATGATTTCCATCTTGCAGTGGTATAAAGTTGTAAGCAAAGCTGCCTCCTTTTCTTGGCAAACAGCGACTGCTGATTTCATTCCAGGAACCTGGTGTCTGTCAGCAAAGTGGGTCGCCCCCAATACACATCCTCCATTCATACTGGTGGGGCTTTGGTAGCCCAAGGAAGGGAAGTCCAAGGCATAGCGCCTTGTTTGCTGGCTTTTGCCCTTTATCAGTTTCTGTAAGAGAACAGGGTCTTTTTGTCAGAAGAGGTTTTGCTACAGTCTCTGTTTGCTTGAGCAAGTTAAAAGAAGGGACTGGTACTATTCCTTTTACTTGACCGGACAGTATAGTCTATTTTCCATTGGATTTTTAAAAAACAGTAACCCATTTCCCTTAGTGATGCCCATCCTGTTTTTTGTTTTGTTTTGTGTTTTTAGAAGCAGATACTGTGCTTTTAACATGACTACATGCAGCTGAGTAAAGGTTAATGCTCACAGTTCTGACGAATCTAGTTGTGTGCTCCTCCTGTCTCTGTGCTGGATCCTCCATTGTCATCTAAGGAGGAAGATTATCCTGCATTCATTCCTCTTGTGTGGAACTAAATAGGTGCTCTTGACCAAGGCAAATGTGTCCTGTTAAGAGAAGACTTGGTTACGCTGAGTTACCACTGACCACACCAGTTGGATTCCTCTCTGTTTTGCTCTTCCTTTCATCCATTGGCATTTTCTATACAGAGCATTCAGAATTCCTTCTGGAAATTCGCTTGCTCAAAATAGAATACCAGGTACCAAATGATAGGTTAGGTGTAACTGGTAAAATATCCTTTTAACTCATCCTGGTCCTTTGGAGCCGACAAACTGGATATTCATTTAAGATAAGCCACTGAGTTTGCCTTTCAATCAGTCTTGATACCTGCCATACGTTTCCCACACTGAAGGACGGATTCGCTCAGTGTGTACTTAAAGCCCCAAGAAGACCGCCCTGCCCCATGTTGTTTTGTGATGGAAGACCTGGGCCACATCTTTGTCTAAAACCTCAGTCCTGTTAACTAACCTGCAGTGATTCCTTGAGCTCCAACCGTGTTTGGAGGGTCACCCCATTCAGCATGAAGTTGCCGACGTCTCGGAAAATGGCATTGGCAATCCCGGTGCCTACCTGTCCACAAACCTTTTGATTTCTTAAGTAGATAGATAGCCATGGATGTTATGAGCGATGTGCAATAAAAAAGCATAGATCCTGAGAGATACTTGCAAAGGCTGTGTTTGTTAATTTAGAATTATACAATTGTACATCTATAAATAAAGATTTATAACATGGAAACTGTCTGCCAGCATTTATGTCATGCAAGGGTCAAAGCAAAGAGTCGTCAACTCAAAAAGGAGATGCAACGCTAGCACTGCCCCAATGCGCACTCCTGGGCCAAGTGCCCTTACAATGAACTATGCTGAGCTGATACTTGTTTTTAGTGCTGAACACATACTTCTGCCCTTCAAGACTGGCAAAACCCAGTTGTTAGCAGCAGAAGGGATTAAGTGTCCTGCTGGTACAAACAACATAAGCCAGAGAGTTTTCTAGTTCTGAGTGAAAAGCTGCTGTAGGCTGAGCATTTTTGTCAGGCTATCTAACGAAGAACACATTTTCAGCTGCAGCAACTTTCAGCCTGTGCTGTTGCCTGATATTCTGTCATACTCTAGCAAGACCAAGAATCAAAACTCAGGCCTAAGCACTGGCTAGCTGACATTTTTAGCTAAAGCTTGCAGGAAGACAAAACCCCAAAGTGGAGCCTTGTTTACTTTCGTATAAGTGAATGCCTAGCGTTTCAGCTGCCTTTAATACTGTATTTCTATAATGTTGTAACTGACCCCGGGTGAAAGGTGGGTAAGAAATATTATGAAGAGCAATAATTTGCTATTCTGGGGGATAACTGCATTTGATGACAGTGTTGTAAAGGGTCTGGAACCTGCCCCCTTTCCCCGAAGCTGGGTGGATTGGCTTTGACCAACACAGGCCTGCTATGGCAGAGGTCCAGCATGTACCTAACACAGAGAGCACATTGTAATGTATGGGATACCATAAAGAAGGCTCTCAACCCTTCAGGGACTCAACCACTGAAGAGAAGGGTGGTGGTGATGTTTGGGGACTTTCTACTGAGATACGGAGGTGGCTGTGGGGCCACACAGTCTGTTAACTTCTGGCGCATGCTGCTGCATATTTGTCTGGGGCGCAGCTCATGCTAAACCTTTGAGAGGACAGCTTTGGCCCAAAGTTAGCGATAATATTCAAAGAGAATGTCCACACAGTGATAAGTAGCACCTGTGGGAAAGGAAGTTGTTGGGGGTGGAATCTGAAAGTTATTTGGAAAAATATGCTTGAAGGAGGATACCCCAAGTTTGGCAGGCCTTTCCTTGCTAAAACACAAGCCCATGCAAATTTACTTGTTTCAGCAGGGCCCGATTTAGGGCAGTGTGGGTCATCCCCGTCCCCCCCGTCCCCACACAGGGCGCAGAGCCCAGGGAGTATTAGTAAAAACAACAATACCTATATTTATATGGGTACCTGCAGAGAAGATCCATAAAAAAGCAGCTGTACCAAAAGGAATTACTGTGAAATTGGGGGTGGGTGGGATTTTTACCCTTGCGCAGGGTGCCATATTGCCAAAATCTGCCCCTGGTTTGAGCATCTCCTGAAACGGTCTCTCCTGGGTGATTTACAGATTTCCCTTGGTCTGCAACTTGCATCTGTAATATGTAGCTGATAGACAGCTGGAAGTAAAATATATTGGCCTTTACCTGGCGCTGAGAACATCATGTGCTGTTTACTCACCTCCTTCAAGCCATTAATAAAGATGTTTAAGTACAAGCGATGGGATGCTGAGAAAGAGTGAGAGTGTCTATTCCCCAGCTGCCTGGAGCTGAAGCTGCAGGCTGTTGCACCAAGCTGTTACTGAAAAACAGGAGAAGCAGATGGAATGTAAACAGAGTGGGTGTCCTTGGCAGCAATCCATTCAATTAAGGGATGGAAAATTAGAATCGAAAACAGCAATTCTACCTACAGTTGTTACAAGGGTGGCTGGTATTAAGTTCTCCCTTCTCCCCAAAAAGGAAAGTCGTTCAGATTATCCTTTTTTGCACCAGTTTTGCTGACGGAAGTATGCTTTCAAGCTGATAGAGTTGCCACTTTCTTTGCTGGCAGGGTTGCTGTGCCTTTAACTGGCATGTGCCAGGCAGAAATTCATCAGGTGATGCTCCACATTAAGGTGTGCAGTGAGTGGGTGGCAAGCTCCCTTGTTTAATTTTCTGCCTACGATGCTCCTCAGCCTTCTACTGTGCACAGTATTAATGATTTGTAGAAGAGACTTTACGACCTGAAAATAGAGTCAGTGCACATATTTTTGCAACCCAAGAAAATCATGCACAGATGCGCAACAACAACAGCACAGGAGCCTTGCTAGAAAAGAGAGAGAAAAATGGAACAAGAGAGCCACACTTACTGTTTTATGCAGAGCATTTTAAAAAGTAAAAACTAGCCAGTGTGTTATCATCTTAGCATAACCTGCCTCACAGGGTTCTTGTGAGGATAAAATGGGGAGAAGGACAACTCTGTATGTCACCTTGAGCTTCTTCAATGAAAGGTGGGATATGAGAGCAATATAAAATAATAAATAATGTCTGATTAAGGTCTTGGGAGCGGGACGCGGGTGGCGCTGTGGGTTAAAGCCTCAGCGCCCAGGACTTGCCGATCGAAAGGTTGGCGGTTCGAATCCCCGTGGCGGGGTGCGCCCCCGTTGCTCGGTCCCAGCGCCTGCCAACCTAGCAGTTCGAAAGCACCCCTGGGTGCAAGTAGATAAATAGGGACCGCTTACCAGCGGGAAGGTAAACGGCGTTCCGTGTGCTGCGCTGGCTCGCCAGATGCAGCTTGTCACGCTGGCCACGTGACCCGGAAGTGTCTGCGGACAGCGCTGGCCCCCGGCCTATAGAGTGAGATGGGCACACAACCCTAGAGTCTGTCAAGACTGGCCCGTATGGGCAGGGGTACCTTTACCTTTGCCTTTAAGGTCTTGGGAACCCATTTTAAAGGAAGATGAGTACAAATAAAGTGGTTTGCCCCCATTTTAACCAACACTGGCTCACAGCCTTCTTTTGAAAAATCCTCACCTCCTTCCAGCGGTGAGTTCAGTAAAAAACAACAACTTTCTATATCGATGGTATATAACACCAGTCAAATTAAGTAAGATGTATAAAGTGAGTAATAAATGTTGGAAATGTAAGGAGAAAGAAGGGACATTTTATCATATGTGGTGGGAATGTAAAAAAATGAAGTGCTTCTGGGAAATGATATATAATGAGATAAAGAAAATATTGAAATATACATTTGTTAAAAAACCAGAAGCATTCTTATTAGGAATTTTAGGTGGTGAGATAAAAAGGAAGGATCAGAAAGTATTTTTGTATGCAGTAACAGCAGCTAGAACTCTTTGTGGCCCAGAAATGGAAACAAGAAGAAATGCCCACGATTGAAGAATGGAGAACGAAATTAATGGATTATGCAGAACTGGACAGATTAACAGGGAGGATTCGCAACCGACGGGACCAAAGATTCACTGAGGACTGGAATAAATTTACAGAATATATTAAAAATATTTGTGATAATGATATAACGTTTGTAAGTTTCCAAGAAGCTCTGTAAGAAGGTTTGGTAGAAATATTGTTGAAATAACATGGTAAGATATACATAGTGCAATATAAATGAAGAAATGTGAAGATATGTAATAATTACGGAAAATTATCAGACTTGCTGATGGAAGTCTAAAAGAAAAAAGACGTGTGATGAATTCCGAATGTTTAATTGTGTTATAAATTTGTTTTTATTGGAAAATTAATAAAAATTATATACAAAAAAAACCCAACAACTTTCTGAGGGCCTGGCACCACAATTTTAATTTGTGACAAGGTGTGCCATTTCGATTTCCACCCGACATCTTGGGCCAGCCCCAAATCTCTCTCTCTCTTCCGTGTGGCGTTATTACGGCCACTCACTCATCGCCAGGCCCTTCAGATCTTTACTGAATGTGCGACAGAGTGTGACAGCTGACACTCATCAGGAAATTGCCTTGGGACCCCGTCCCTCGCTTTGCCTGGGCCTGGATGGGTGGAGGAGAAGCAGACTTTTAGCCTGCCTTTGTTAAGAGAGGAAATATAGCTGCCTTGAAGTAAGATGCAACTTCCTTGTTGGCTGAAGCTCAGCGGGAGATGTATTAAGATAGGAGCAGAGAGGAAGAAAGCAGGCGAGGCCTGGGGTAGAGAGCTCCATGAAATAATCTAAACCTGACCTGGTGTGGAGAAAGGCCACAGCGCAGGCATAATCTGGCTATGATTAAAATCCGACATAGAATATAATTGGCTAGTGGTGATAAAGGGGAGCGGGGACCCACAACAAATTGTTGCAGCGTATCTCCAGCCCCAAACAGGAGTGCTGCTATTCAGCCTGGAACAAGAGTTATGTCTGGGGTGTTCATACTGGTCACCTTTTTTTTTTACCCTCCCCAAATGTTTAGCACAGTATTATATGGTGCTAAAGGGCCTAGGATTGCCCAAACGTTTTATTGCATTATAGCAGGGAGGAGAGCTGGGCATGAGACCTACCCAGTGAAAACAACAAAGAATCATAGAATTTTAGAGTTAGAAGGGGCTCCACAGGTCATCTAGTCCAACCCCTTGCAATGCAGGAATCAATCTAGCTTGGTGTGACTGGGTAGCAATGTTGCCATTTCTGCCCATGCACACTCGGTTAAAGGAGAGTGCCTGCCTTAGCATTCAGGGTAAACTCAGAAGTTCCCTCTAGACCACGAGATGTTTGGGCTACTTACATGCCATCCATTTAAAGCACATCCCGACACACCAAAGAATGCTGGGAACTGTAGTTTGCTGGGCATACTGGGAAGTGTAGGAATAGCAATGAGAAAAACACCCTGTATCTCCTGCCCCAAACAGCTCATATTTTTCCCACAGCAAAAACTATGGTTTATTATGATGACTGAACCACAAACCATAGTTTGCGTTCAGACTAGAGAATGAGACCAGGACCAAGAGGACCACATCCGCCTGTGAGGGTGTTCCTGTTGGCTAAAAAATGGTTTGGCCACTGGCAGGATGATGTCCTTGTGATTTTTGTGGTATTTTGTGCAGTACGACTTGCCATTATTTTTATTGATTATAGTTTAACAATTGTTTATTGTTATAAGTGTAAACGGTTTAATTATTATACGCTGATATTTAATTTTACTGCTTACTATTAGATTATAATGGTAAAAAGGTAAAAGGGAAAGGACCCCTGGACAGTTAAGTCCAGTCAAAGGCGACAAAGACCGAGGAAGCCGGCAAGTCAGAACCAGTGAAGGCGGTGAAGGTCCTGTGTGAGTGTCTGGAGGCGGTTGTGGAGGATGAATGGCGGCTAACAGATTGAGGTTGAATCCTGACAAGACAGAAGTACTGTTTTTGGGGGACAGGAGGCGGGCAGGTGTGGAGGATTCCCTGGTCCTGAATGGGGTAACTGTGCCCCTGAAGGACCAGGTGCGCAGCCTGGGAGTCATTTTGGACTCGCAGCTGTCCATGGAGGCACAGGTCAAATCTGTATCCAGGGCAGCTGTCTACCAACTCCACCTGGTACGCAGGCTGAGACCCTACCTGCCCGCGGACTGTCTCGCCAGAGTGGTGCATGCTCTAGTTATCTCCCGCTTGGACTACTGCAATGCGCTCTACGTGGGGCTACCTTTGAAGGTGACCCGGAAACTACAACTAATCCAGAATGCGGCAGCTAGACTGGTGACTGGGAGCGGCCGCCGAGACCATATAACACCAGTCTTGAAAGACCTACATTGGCTCCCAGTACGTTTCCGAGCACAATTCAAAGTGTTGGTGCTGACCTTTAAAGCCCTAAACGGCCTTGGTCCAGTATATCTGAAGGAGCGTCTCCTCCCCCATCGTTCTGCCCGGACACTGAGGTCCAGCTCCAAGGGCCTTCTGGCGGTTCCCTCACTGCGAGAGGCCAAGTTACAGGGAACCAGGCAGAGGGCCTTCTCGGTAGTGGCGCCCACCCTGTGGAACGCCCTCCCATCAGATGTCAAAGCGATAAACAACTACCTGACATTCAGAAGACATCTGAAGGCAGCTCTGTTCAGGGAAGTTTTTAATATGTGACATTTTTGTGTATTTTTCATCTTTGTTGGAAGCCGCCCAGAGTGGCTGGGGAAACCCAGCCAGATGTGCGGGGTACAAATAATAAATTATTATTATTATTATTATTATTATTATTATTATTATTATTATTATTATTTGTCCACAGAAAGCTTTCCGGGTCTTGTGGCCAGCATGACTAAACTGCTTCTGGTGCAATGGAACACCGTAAGAAAAACCAGAGAGCCACGGAAACACTGTTTACCTTCCCGTCTCAGCAGTACCTATTTATCTACTTGCACTAGTGTGCTTTGAAACTGCTAGGTTGGCAGGAGCTGGGACAGAGCAACGGGAGCTCACCCTGTCGTGCAGATAAGAATCACCAACCTTCTGATCAGCAAGCCCAAGAGGCTCAGTGGTTTAGACCACAGCACCAACCATGTCCTTCTCATTATAATGAATTGTTGTTTCAATATAAGTGGTATATTTTAAAATTATTGTGACTTTTTTGTATTGGATCAGATTGTTATTAATGTTTGACATTTTATTATGTTTTTATATGTGTTGGAAGCCGCCCAGAGTGGCTGGGGCAACCCAGCCAGATGGGCGAGGCATGAATAAAATTATGATGATGATTATTCTGTCAACATCTACATTGTGGAATCCTTCCAATGGAATATCCAACTGGCTGAAGATTTGGGTTTTCCAAAGGCATTTTTTTGGTGTAGTAGACCCCTGACATTTGATCTGCTGCTTAAAGCGTTGTATTCAGTTTTTTACTCTTCTGTGTGTTTTTAATACGGTTAACATGCTTATTTATAGCACCTTGACCACTTTGAAGTGGAATGGTGACTTTAGAAATCTCTCTCCAAACTTCCTTAAACAACATTGCTGCCCAGAAAAAAAGAAATCCGCCTATAGCCAATGTATTGATTCCTGTGTGTTGAGTGTGCAAACACCCAGAAAGCAGAGAGAGGAGGAAACGTCATCCAGACTGGGGTAAATTGATAGCCCGTGTTCTCCTGGTGCCAAGTTCCCTTCTGTTGATATGAACCACATGTAAGGCCTTGCGGAGTTAACTCTGCCCTTCCCGCACGGAGCCAACTTCTTGGAGAGCTGGAGGCAGCTCGGAGAGCAGCTGCGAGGAGCCCCCTCTCCCTCCAGGCAGGAATTTGTTTGGCAGCCCTTTGCTTTTCTCACTGGAGAGGAGCTGAATCTGCTGACTGTGTGCAGTTTTCCTCTCCCCCCACTGTCCCAGCCACCCTGAGCTGTTGCTGCAGCTGCAGTTTAACTTGTGCTGCTGGGTTTTCCTAAGCCATTTCCTACAACCCCCTCCGCCCCGCCCCCAACATTTCTTATCTTCGCCATGTGGGACATGAGCTACGTGCCCTCTCTGAAATCCTGAAGGGGTCTCTTCTCCCCCCTCCTTCCACAGCTGTTCTTCCCACCATAAACTCCATGCCTCTAAGGTCCCAGGGAGAAGGCATAACAGGGCCAGCTCCTGTTGCAGATGCCTGCCCAGGGACCTCTGCTCAGCAAAGCCCTGATGCATCAGTTTTGCGTTTTATTTTAGCATGTGGAAAATCCACTCTGCCTTGACCTGAACCATCTGGGCTTTTTGCGTCCTTTTCCTTTTCCTGGTGTGTCCCTGTCCCCTGTCTCTGTCCGTGTGTGTGTGTGTGTGTGTGTGTGTGTGTGTGTGTGTTTGCCAAACAAAATGTGGTGATGTGATTACGTTCTGCTTTAAGTGATAGAGTGTCTTAAGAGGCTTATGTTGTTTTAAAACCCCTTAAGATAAATGAAACTGCTAGTTATAAGGTTACAGAGCAGAACAAAGCATAAATATCAGTTGTGGGTAATAGGAGTAGTAGTAGTAGTAATAGTAATAGTAATAATAATAATAATAATAATAATAATAATAATTGTTATATTTATTTCTATCCTGTCCTCCCCCTCCCCCAAACTGGGAATGTCAATTTATTCTTGAATTCTACTTCACAGCTGATGATTTTAAGGTGTGACAAAACAAAGAAAATCCAGGAGATGCGAGAGAGTTGCAAAATGAGTTTCCATGGGTGTTTTCATTTAAAATAACGACAGGGTGATATCAGAATCAGTGAAGTGGGGTTGTCATCAAACAGGGGTGTTGTCACCCACTTACCTACCCACCCAGGCCAGGGCTTGTGTGTGACAGGCAGAAACTCATCTGGTGCTGCTTCTTCAAGGACTCAGATGCTGCAATGTCAGAGAAGCTGCAACGCATGCATTTCTTCCTGTTGTGCAGCTGTCAAAAGACACAGGGAAGCTGCAATCAAAAGTGTTGATTGTTTTTCTGGAAGAACACTCCATCTGTCCCCTCCTGTTTCCCCAAATATATTTTTTTCCCCGAGCACACAGCCAAACCACATTCCCTTTCTTGCCATCTGGCCTACGCAGACGGGACTATGCTTGTGTCACCCCACCCAGTAAAATTATTTTGCTCTAGTGAGAATTCCCAAATTTCTTCTTCTTTTCTTATTTCATATGAACCCTAGTTAGAATTTTCAGGTGCCCAAATCAACAAAAGTCTAAAGGAAGTAAGAAAATAAAAAGCTACACCTTGGAGGAGTTGTACTGACCGACATAGAATAAAGTGGGGAAAGAAGAAAAATATAGTATGGAACATGGGGCAGTGATGTCGTAAAATAAAATACAATCCATTGAGAAACAGAGATAAGAAACCTGTGATCTACAGTCCGCAAACCACGTCTGCTAAGGTACTTGGCACCCTCAGGCAGGTTTACTGATTAAGGTAGCAAGATTTATTTGTTGCAGCATGATACCTCCTTTTATCACTCACGTAAACAAGCAGTCCTCTTGTCGCTGTCCTCCACCAGTTTAGAACTGGAATTATGCTCTGATGCAGCCTTTATAAATGTATTTTAGGTATGACTTCTTTCCCTTAGGAATGCGTGATTTCTGGGATCTCCTGATTTCTGGCAAATGGTCTAAGTTATTTATGAACTACGTTTCACTTTCTGAAAACAATAAAACAACTAAACCCAGACAAGTTTACTGAGCTCCTAGCTTGGCCCAGCCTGTGTGGCTGATGGGCTCGTTTTTTTGATGCCTGCTAGTGGTGCAAACAAGCCTTTCTGGCAAGCAACTTATCCTCTTCTGCCTGTTCACTATGTCCCTTATTTTCTTCGGAGCTGACCTCCCATGTCCCCCACACATGCACGTTCAGTGATCTGACCATGTCCCAAAATGGATCCAAACAAACTCCCTGACACATTTCCCAGTTGGCTGGCGTGCGGTGCGCCACTTGGAAGGCTTGTGGTTGCACATCCCCTCGCTAGATCAGGAGCAAGCTCAGCTGCCTAGGAGTGGCAGATGAGCTAAAAGCGATACTCATATTGCCTCATCGAGGAGCCACAGGCCAAAAGGCAAACAGCATAGCCCACGCTGACCTCTCATCAAGCTATGGCCCTTAAGCCCAGGGGTCACCAATCTTTTGGGTCCATGAGCACATTTGCAAATTGTTGTGGGTGCCACACACACCCCACAACCAAGCACAGACGACAGCCTATTACAGGGGTCAGCAAACTTTTTCAGCAGAGGGCCGGTACACTGTCCCTCAGAACTTGGACTATATTTTTATTATTTTTTTTTAATAATTTTATTGGGTTTTCACATTTTATAAAGACAAAAACAAAACACATAACACCAAAACAAACATAAAAAAAAAAAACAACAGCGAACATGAATAGTTCCAAAAAGTCTTATTTTCTAACCCTAGTCCTTGACTTCCCCCCACCCCCTCCCTTGCATCCCTGTTCCCAAATTTATGTCAGCAAGTTAGCATTTCTTCCTTCTTAATATTAGTCCTTTTATAGAAACAAAAAATAAGTTTTCCCTAAGTTGGACCCCAATTCTCTTCCCTCGATTTCTCATTTTTTCTTAAGTAATTTCCTTATTACTAAACCCCTAGTCTTGAGTGTTGCTTAAGTTTATGCTTCCCTCCCTCCCATCCCCGCTTTGCGTCCTTTCCCAAGACATGTCCAAAATAACAGTTTTTAGCCTGGATTCCGCACATCCGAGGCTCTCAAATCTATTTCAGTCCCTCTCCGCCGGTTTTGTTGGTAGTCCTCTTTGTCAGTCATCGAGTCTCGAAAGATTTCATTAACATTCAATCCAATCAATCCATAGTCTCTTCCCATATTTATAAGCAACTGCTGAAGAATTTCCACAAGGCCTAAGTCTTGGTGATGGTCAAAATCAAAGTCTATGTGGAGGCCCCAATTGTACTTCTTTATTTCGAGTTCCTGAGTTCCATAAACTCCCAGGGCCTCCACTTTCATCTTCTGTATCTTTCGTAGGCTTGGAATAGATTCCATCCAATGGTCTCCTTGTTTGTATTCTCCAAATATCGGCTTCTGGTTAATATTTTCCCACATAACTTGTTCTCTTTCTTGTTTTGTCTTCTCCTCTTCTTTGTTTATTGTTTCAAATTCAGCTGTGGGTTCTTTCTCCTTCAAGTCCTCATTACATTCAGCAGAGCTACTTGTTGCCAAATCCAAGGCCGTCAATTGTTTGCTCATAGCTGTAGTCTGCTCCTGTAAGGTTCCCACCAGTGAAAACATCCTTTCGATTTCTCTCTGTATCTTTCCACCCACAGCCATTGTAATTCCACAGAATTCCCCCTAGAGGGAATCTGGTTACTGGATGGTTTTTTCTCCAACAATCCTCTGTCCTATTATTGTTTCTTTGTTTCCCAAAATTTTAGTTCAATTGTAACTCCTTTTTATCCGGAGAGGTCTTAAGTAGCAATTTTTTCAGTATTAACAGTCCATTTGACAGCTTTGACAGCTGTCAAATTCTGCTCCTCTATACAGGCTCCAAAGCAGATCGCTCCCGGGCTCGGGAGGGAGGGTTGTTTACCACAAGACAAAAACTCTTCCAACACTCCACTCTCCTGCTTAAATTTGCTTTTCCAAATCTTGGAAGTTACTGTCTTTTTTAAAACTCACCCTTTGCAGGGTAGGCACTCCAGCTTAGCTCTTATATCGTTGCTCTGGATCGTCTGCAAGGGGGGGGATGGGGACTTCCTTTTGGCACACCCCCCCGGTCGTCTCAAATTCAAAAGGTAAAAGTTTTTAAAGCTCAGTTCCAAATTACTCACGGGTTCTTTTTTTTCAGTCCGAATTTCAAGGAAGGAAGTCAGCGCTCTCCAGTTATGGCTCGTGGCTTCGCTCAGCGGCGGTAGCGATCGACTCTCAGTGCCGCGCCGTCCCCCGTATCCCCTCCATAGCCTTTAAAAAGGCTCTTCGCGAATCAGGGGGGGCGCTTAAGGCACCCGCCGAGTCTTCAGTCCGCAGGCATCTGCACCTGCGGTTTTTAAGGGTCCCCGTGTCGCCGGCACGGCAAAGACCCATCCACCGCTGAGCCGATTCCCTCCGGAGCTCGGAGGGAATCCGCCATTCCCGGATCGCGCCAACCCGGAAGTCCAGAACTTGGACTATATTTTTAGGGGGGAAACTGAACAAATTCCTATGCCCCACAAATAACCCAGACATGCATTTTAAATAAATGGACACATTCTACTCATGTAAAAACACGAAGAATCCTGGATCGTCCGTGGGCCAGATTTAGAAGGCGATTGGGCCGGATCCTGCCCCCGGGCCTTAGTTTGCCTACCCACAGCCTATTATATGGGCTTTGAAGCCTTATTTCAGCAGGCGGAAGGGACCCAGAGGGTGCCAGGGAAGACCTCTGCAGGCACCAACAGGCGCCAGGATGGCAACCCCTCCAGTAAGCCTACAGCTCAGGTCTCTGTTGTCTTTTTAGCCCTAAGCTTTTGCCCGTTGTGAGGTTCTACCATAAGGCATATTGGCAGGATCTCCCAAGGACATGCTCGACAGGGAGCTGGCTTTAGGCACCAAGCCCGTAGGCAGACCAACAACTGCAGTGCCTGGAGACAGACAGGTTGTGCATCCATAGCAGTGGCCAGAGGAGGAATGACTGCTGGGAGGAGTGCAGAGAAAAGTAACATCATGGTGCATCTGCAGCAGAACAACTGGAGACCTTCATGTGCCTCGGATGCAACAAAACATGTCTCTCCCATATCGGTCTCTACAGCCACACCAAGTGCTGCAACCTCCCACACTTCCATTTTCTCCCAAGACAAATGGATGCCAATGAACCCTATTGCCATACAACACAGCAGCTGTCAGGCTCCAGACATTACCTGGTACAAAAAATGTCCCGCAGCAGGAAGGAGGAATTGAGCAGAAGTACCTTTCCATATGGAAAGGATATGGAACAACTGATTGGTTCAAAATTGGGAAAGGAGTACGACAAGGCTGTATATTGTCTCCCTGCTTATTTAACTTATATGCAGAATTCATCATGCAAAAGGCTGGGCTGGATGAATCCCTAGCCGGAATTAAGATCGCCGGAAGAAATATCAACAACCTCAGATATGCAGATGACACAACCTTGATGGCAGAAAGTGAGGAGGAATTAAAGAATCTTTTATTGAGGGTGAAAGAGGAGAGTGCAAAATATGGTCTGAAGCTCAACATCAAAAAAACCGAAGATCATGGCCACTGGGCCCATCACCTCCTGGCAAATAGAAGGGGAAGAAATGGAGGCAGTGAGAGATTTTACTTTCTTGGGCTCCATGATCACTGCAGATGGTAACAGCAGCCACAAAATTAAAAGACGCCTGCTTCTTGGGAGAAAAGCAATGACAAACCTAGACAGCATCTTAAAAAGCAGAGACATCACCTTGCCAACAAAGGTCCGTATAGTTAAAGCTATGGTTTTCCCAGTAGTGATGTATGGAAGTGAAAGCTGGACCATAAAGAAGGCTGTTCGCCGAAGAATTGATGCTTTTGAATTATGGTGCTGGAGGAGACTCTTGAGAGTCCCATGGACTGCAAGAAGATCCAACCTATCCATTCTTAAGGAAATCAGCCCTGAGTGCTCACTGGAAGGACAGATCGTGAAGCTGAGGCTCCAATATTTTGGCCACCTCATGAGAAGAGAAGACTCCCTGGAAAAGACCCTGAGGTTGGGAAAGATGGAGGGCACAAGGAGAAGGGGACGACAGAGGACAAGATGGTTGGACAGTGTCTTTGAAGCTACCAGCATGAGTTTGACCAAACTGCGGGAGGCAGTGGAAGACAGAAGTGCCTGGCGTGCTCTGGTCCATGGGGTCACGAAGAGTCGGACACAACTAAACGACCATACAACAACAACAACCTTTCCACTAATTGACGGCATCTTGGGGTCCAAGCCATTGCCTGTAGTATGACCAGCAAGGCTTTTCCATGGTTAGGAAACCTCGTGAGATTTCAGAGCTCTATTAGAATGCCACATTTCAATGGTAGTCCCTGTTGCTTGAGACCTGTCAATTTACACTTCTGTTCTTCTATGCATAGCGTCTAAAACTGCCGCTGCAATTCTGATTCCCCCCCCTCCTCCCCAGGTAAGTCTTATTGATCTCCGATTACACAGGGCTGGCCATGCATCCTGGAATTTGCCTCCGAAAATGGCATCCTGGATTGTTTTTGGAAATATAGGCAAATGTCCTGGAAAACTGGCAATGGGAGTTAAATTGTGCTAAAAATGCCTTTAAAAACCTCCAAAACTCAACAATTCTTGTAGCTTTTACTAGAAAAAAAGGAAAAAAAGAGCTCTGCTGGAGATATGGCAACCCTAGGTATTTAGGAACATGAAAAATGGCTGTTTTGTTTTTTTATATATAAAAAAATACATTTTAAGTTCTATGGCATCTAGGGTGGCCTTTAAGTCTGCTCCTGAACTGAACAGACTTGGCGTTGGTTAGAGAATGGTGGTTACAGCATGGTGCTGATAACACTAAGATTGCAGGTTTGATCCCATATGGGATAACTGCATATTCCTGCATATTCCAAGTCTACAGTTCTATGGTTCTCAGATTCTATGATTCTCATTGTCTGCAGAACAAAGAGCCCCATGAAAACACAGAAGTGGGCATTCCTACCATAAAAGATCAACACCCAACACTGTTGCCTGCAACTCTCTGCGCTCTCAATTTCTCCATCTCTCCTCTTAAAAGTGGTACCACTACGATGAGTTAATTACAACCTCAGGGTTATTGCTACAGGTGCTGGAGAGGCAGGAAAACAACCAGTGGAGATTAACATTGCAACTGACGCAGCGTGTTGCGCAACCCACATTTTAAATGTCCCGGAACTGAGGGTGGCTGTAAACCATTGTTATCTAGCACTGAATGACCTCTCAGACAGAACCTCATACTTCCCATCTGCAGAACAGGTTCGCCAGAGC